AAATAATATCGTTCTTTCATTTTCTGTTTATATTCCATTATGTAGTATTTGGGAAATTTGTTTTAGCAAATATCTGAAATTCAGAAATTTACATGAACCTTGCGAGCTAAGCTGTCTTAATTTTTTTTTTTTTTTTTTGTGAATGAATGCTTTGTGTTTGTTTAGAACAACGCATGTGCTTTCTAGAGAAATGACAGGCCTTTGATTTGAAAAAGATATCCTTGCTCTGGTATTGGAACTTGTTTCTATAATGCACTCCTACTAGGCTTAGTGACATTTGTATCATTTGAAGCAGTGTTCAAATGTAACAATAGGGGTATGCTTTTCCAGTTTTCCTTTTCAAATTTAGACTCTTGTCTTTGCGGTGCTCACAGCCCCCTTACTTGCATGCTGTGTGTGTGTGTGTGTGTGTGTCTTTTGTTGGCAAAATTTCTTCTGTGTGCACCTTTGAAAAGCTTGAAGTCCACTACATCATTCATTGCTTATTATGAATGCTTATATATAAATGAGTGATAATTGAGATTGATTCGGAGCCTTGAACATGAAATACAACGCCGCCTTATGTTTGGTTACATTAGTATTTGGCCTACTAGACAAATGGTAGTATTTTGATTTAAAAGAGATGTCCTTGCTTTGGCATTTGACCACGAACTTTTAATGCACTCCTACAAGGTTCAATGACAATTATATGATTTGATACCTAATCTAATTGTGCTTAAATATACTTAAAGGAGTTCCACTTTTGCTTTTCAACTTAAACTCTTCATGTCATTGATGCATTGTAGCCCTCTCACATATTTGCTAAATATATCTTGGTTTGACAGATTTCTTTTATAAGCACACTTGTAAAGATTCATGATCATTGCATCATTTGATGCTTGATTTGGATTCCCTTGTTATATTGTAAGAAAAATGGGATTGATTAAGATGCTTGAATGTGACATGCAAAGGTGTGTAGCTTTTCTTACATGCTTGTCTTTAGACCATTCAAAATATCATATATTGCTTATCTAGAAATATTAATATTTTGATTGAAAATAGTTGTCCTTGGTTTGGTATTCTAATTTTATATATGCAATGCACTTCTATGAGGCTCATTGATGTTTGTATCATTTGTTGCCTAATCTAAATGTGCATAAATGTAATCATAGAGGGTCTACTTTTTCTCTTCAGCTTAGACTATCTGTGTCTTTGCTGCTTGTAAACCCCTTACATGTATGGTTTGTATGTATATCCTTCAGTGGTAAATTTCTTCTGTATGCACTTTGGGAAAGCTTGATGCCCACAACATCATTCATTGTGTATTATGAATCATATATAATGCAGGATAATTGAGATTGATTTGGAGCCTTGAATAGGAAATACAAAGTTGCCTTGTGCTTTTTACAAGTGGTGGTATTTTGATTTAAAAATGATGTCCTTACTATGCCATTTTTTTTACTATGGACCTTTAATGCACTGCGATAAGGCTCAATGAAATTTGTATGATTTGATGCCAAATATAAATGTGCATAAATATATTTAATGGGATTCTACTTTCTCTTTTTAGCTTAGACTCTCCATGTCTTTTTGGCATTGTAGTCCTCTCAAATTTTTTGCTAAATATATTTTTATTTGACAATATTCTTGGAAGTATACTTTCAAAGATTATTTATCATTGCATCATTCAATGCTTGATTTGGTTGCCTTGGTTTGATTGTGCGAAAAGTGGGATTGATTAAGAGGCTCGAATATGACGAAGTTATCTTATAAGCACACTTTCAAAGATTGATGTTCGATGCATCTTTTGATGCTTGACTTGATTGCTTATTCGATTGTGGGAAAAGTGGGATTGTTTTAGAGACTTGAATATGACAAATTTCTCTTCTAAGCACACTTACAAAGATTGATGATCGATGCATCATTTGATACTTGATTTGGTTGCTCTTATTTGACTGTGGGAAAGTGGGGATTTATTAAGAGGCTTCAGTGTGACAAGTTTCTCTTTTATTTACACATGAAAAGATTGATAATTGTCGCATCATTTGATGCTTGATTTGCTTGCCTCGTCTGATTGTGAGAAAAGTGGGTTTGGTCATATGTTTTCGGACCCTTCGGAATATCATGTGGTTATCTAAAAATTGTAATATTTTTATTTAAAATTTATGGCCTTCATTTGGTATTCTAATTTATATATGCAATGCAGTTCTACGAGGCTCAATGACGTTTGTATCATCTGTTGCCTAATCTGAATGTGTATAAATGTAATCATAGGGGTTCTACGTTTCCTGTTAACCTTAGACTTAGTGTCTTTGTAAACCCCTTACATGTATGGTTTGTATATGCATGTCCTTCAACGGCAAATTTGTTTTATGTGCACTTTTGAAAAGCTTGATGCTCACAACATCTTTCATTACGAATTATTAATGCTCATATTTAAATGTGGATAATTGAGAATGATTTGGTGCCTTGAATAAGAAATTAAAAGTTGCCTTGTGTTTTCGGCCTTCTATACAAATGGTTGTATTTTGATTTATGATGACCTTACTTTGTCATTTTCATTATGGACCTTTAATGCACTCCAAATAAAGCTCATCAAAATTTATATGATTTGATGCCAAATATAAATGTGCATAAATATATTTAATGGGATTCTACTTTCATTTTTTTTGGCTTAGATTCTCCTCATCTTTTTTGCATTGTAGTCCTCTCAAATTTTTGCTAAATATATTTTTTATGTGACAAATATTCGGAAGCATACTCACAAAGATTATTTATCGTTGCATCATTTGATGCTTGATTTTGTTGCCTGGTCTGATATTGGGAAAAGTGGGATTGATTAAGAGGCTCGAATATGGCAAAGTTTTTTATAAGCACACTTTCAAAGATTGATGTTTGATGCATCTTTTGATGCTTTATTTTGTTGCCCTTATTTGATTGTGGGAAAAGTGGGATTGATCAAGAGGCTTGAATTTGAAAAATTTCTCTTATAAGCACACTTGCAAAGATCAATGATCGATGCATCATTTTATGCTTGATTTGGTTGACCTTATTCGATGTGGGGAAGTGGGGATTTATTAGGAGGCTTCATTATAACAAGTCTCTCTCTCTCTCTCTCTCTCTCTGTTTTTTTGATTGTAATGACAAGTTTCTCTTTTATTCACACATGAAGAGATTGATGCTTGTCTTCAGGCCCTTTGGAATATCATGTGGCTTATTTAAAAATTGTAATATTTTGATTTAAAATTTATGTCCTTGAAGTGGTATTCTAATTTATATATGCAGTGCACTCCTACGAGGCTCAATGGTGTTTGTATCATTTGTTGCCTAATCTGAATGTGCATAAATGTAATCATAGGGGGTCTACTGTTTCTCTTCAGCTTAGACTTTCCATGTCTTTGTTGCTTGTAACCCCCTTACATGTATGGCTTGTTTATATATGTCCTTCAATGGCAAATTTGTTTTGTGTGCGCTTTTGAAAAGCTTGATGCCCACAATATCATTCGTTACGTATTATTAATGCTCATATATAAATGCAGGATAATTGAGACTAATTTGAACCCTTGAACAAGAAATCAAAGTTGCTTTGTGTTTTTTGACATTTGTGTTTTTGGCCTACTATACAAACGATGGTATTTTGATTTAAAAATGATGTCCTTACTTTTTCATATTTCATTTTGGACCTTCAATGTTCTACAATAAGGCTCAATGAAATTTTTATGATTTGATGCCAAATATAAATCTGCATGAATATATTTAATGGAATTCTACTTTCTCTTTTTAGCTTGGATTCTCCATGTCCTTTTTACATTGCAGTCCTCTCAAATTTTACTAAATATATTTTATTTGACAAATATTTCTTGGAAGCATACTAGCAAAGTTTTTTTTTTCGTTATGTCATTTAATGCTTGATTTGGTTGCCCTTGTCCAATTGTGGGAAAAGTGGATATAGAGTGGAATATTATGAGGTTCTCGTATAAGCACACTTTCAATGATTGATGATTGAAGCATCATTTGATGCTTGATTTGGTTGCCTTTATTTGATTGTGCGAAAAGTGGGATTGATCAAGAGGCTTGAAGATGACAAATTTCTCTTTTGAGCACACTTGCAAAGATCGATGATCAATGTATCATTTGATGCTTGATTTGGTTGCCCTTATTTGATTGTGGGAAAGTGGGGATTTATTAGGATGCTTCAATATGACATGTTTCTTATTTATTCACACATGAAAAGATTGGTTATTGTTGCATCATTTGATGCTTGATTTGATTGCACTTGTCTGACTATGAGAAAGGAGGGACTGATTATGATGCTTGAATATGACATGCAAATTTATGTAGTTTTTGTTTCATGCTTGTCTTTGGACCCTCCGAAATATCATACGTGGCTTATCTATAAATTGTAATATTTTGATTTTAAATTTATGTCCTTTATTTGGTATTCTAATTTATATATACAATGTACTCCTACAAGGCTCATTGACGTTTGCATCATTTGTTGCCTAATCTTAATGTGCATAAATGTAATCATTTGGGGGGTCTACTTTCCTCTTAAGCTTAAACTCTCCATGTCTTTGTTAGTTGTAACACCCTTACATGATTGGGGTGCGTGTGTTTCCTTCGCTGGCAAATTTCCTCTGTATGCATTTTTGAAAAGCTTTGATGCCCATGGCATCATTCATTGTGTATCATGAATGCTCATATATAAATTCAGGATAATTGAGGCTTGAAATGGAAATACAAAGGTGCCTTATTTTTTCTGACATTCGTGTTTTTGGCTTACTGTACAATGGTGGTATTTTGATTTAAAAATGATGTCCTTACGTTGTCATATTTTTTTATGGACGTTCAATGCACTTCAATTAGGCTCAGTGATAATTATATGATTTGATGCTAAATATAAATGTGCATAAATACATTTAATGGTATTCTACTTTTTCTTATCAGCTTAGACTCTTCATGTCTTTGTTGCATGATTGCATTGCAGTTGTCTCAAATATTTGCTAACCAATTTTTATTTGACAATTTTGTTTTTTGAAGCATACTTGCAAAGATTATTGATCATTGCATCATTTGGTTCTTGATTTGGTTTCCCTTGTCTGATTTTTTGGGAAAAGTGGGATTGATTAAGAGGTTTGAATATGATAAATTTTTCTTATAAGCACACTTGTGAAGGTTGATGATCGATGCATCATTTGATATTTGATTTGGTCAATTGTTGGAAAAGTGAGAATTGATTAAGAGGCTTGAATATGACAAGTTTCTTTTTAAACCACACTTGAAAAGATTGATTGAATGTAACATGCAAAAGTGTAGTTTTTCTTACATGCTTGTCTTTGGACCGTTCAAAATATCATATGTTGCTTATCTAGAAAATATCAATATTTTGATTGAAAATAGTTTTCCTTATTTGATATTCAAATTTATGTTTGCAATGCAATCCTATGAAGCTCACTGACTTTTGTTTCTTTTGTAGCCTAATCTAAATGTGCATAAATGTAATCGTAGGGGGTCTACTTTTTCTCTTCAGCTTAGACTTTGTGTCTCTGTTGCTTGTGACCTGTATGGTTTGTTAATGCATGTCCTTCAGTGGCAAATTTCTTCTGTGTGAACTTTTGAAAAGCTTGATGTCAACAGCATCATTCATTGGGTATTATGAATGCTCATATGTAAATGCAGGATAATTGAGACTGATTTGGAGCTTTGAACATGAAATATGTCTTGTGTTTTCTCACTTCGTATATTTTTCCTACTAGACAAATGGTCGTATTTTGATTTAAAATTGATATCCTTTTACATTTGACTGCAGACCTTTAATGCACTTATATGTGGTTCGGTAATGATTATATGACTTGTTCCTCAATCTAAATGTTCATAAATATTTTTATTTAATGTGGTTCTACTTTTGCTTTCTGCTTAAACTCTACTAGTCTTTGTTGCATTGTATCTCTCACATATTTGATTTTGTAAAACATTTTTATTTGACAAATTTCTATTGTAAGCACAGTTGTAAGGATTGATGATGGTTGCATCATTTGATGCTTTATTTGGTTGCCCTTGCCCATTTTTGGGAAAGGTGAGATTGATTAAGATGATTGAACATGACATGCCAATGTTCCCTAATTTTTCTTACGTGGATCTCTTTGGACCCTTTGGAATCTCATATATGGCTTATGTAATAATTTTTTTGGTATTCGAATTTATATATTAATATACTTCTACAAGGCATAGTGATGTTTGTAACATTTGATGCATAATCTGTATGTACATAAATGTAATTATAAGGGTTCACTTTTCCTCTTCAGCATAGACTCTCTGAGTCTTTGCTACTCATAGCTGATAGCTCCCATACTAACGTGCTACATATATGTCCTTCGTAGGCTAATTTCTTCTTTATGCACCTTTGAGAAGCTTTTTTTCCACAAATCATTTGTTACTTTTTATGAATGTTCATATATAAGTGCAGGATAGTTGAGACTGATTCGGAGCCTTGATTAGTGAATAGAAAGCTGCCTTGTGTTTTGCTACATTAGTATATTTTGCTTGCAAGACAAATGATAGTATTTTGATTTAAAATTGATGTCCTTGCTTTGGCATTTCACCACAGGACCTTTAATGAACTCTCACGAGGTTCATTGACTATTATATGATTTGATGCTTAATCTAAATATGCATAAATATATTGAAAGTGACTTTACTTTTGCGTTTCAGTTTAATCTGTCTTTTTTTGCTTGTACTCCTTTCATATTTTTTCTAAATGTATCCTTATTTGACAAGTTCTTTTTGTAAGTACACTTGCAAAGATTGATGATCATTATATCATTTGATGTTTGATTTTGATGCCCTTGTCTGATTGTGAGAAAATTTTGTTGAACAAGAGGTCTGAACTTGACAGCAAGGTTATCTTAATTTTCATTGCGTGCATGTTTTCAAATCCTTCAAAATAGCAGATGTGATTTATTTTAGAAATGTCATGTATATCCTTATTTTACATGTTGCTCTTGTAAGCACACTTGCGAAGATTTATGATCAGTCTCATTCGATCCATGATCTGGATGCATTGTTTTATTGTGGGAAAATTGAAACTGATTAAGAGGTTTAAACTTGATACATGCAAACTGCCTTAATTTTCATCACATGCATGTCTTCATATCCTTCAAAAATGTTGCATATGCCGCTTATCTCAGAATTGACAATATTTTGATGATTTCCTTGCTTTGGTATTTGAATTTGTATATGCAATGAATTCCTCCTTTTCCTTTTCAGTTTGGACTTATCATGTGCTGTTTGTAGCCCCTTTACATGAGTGTCTTGGCAAATTGCTCATGTTTGCACACTTGTACAGCTTGATAACTATTGCATCGTTTTTTCGTTATTTTGAATGCTTGTATACAAAGATGAGAAAATTTTGACAAATTTGGAGCCATGAACTTGAAATACAAAGGTACGTTGTGTTAAAAATGATATATTTGGCCTACTAGATAAATTGTACTCCTACTCTTTTGATGCTTAGTTTGATTTGGTGGCATTTAGAATGTACTCCTACTCTTACGCTAAATATATTTGTTTGGCAAGTTTTTATTGTAAGCATTCGCACAAAGCTTGTTGACAAATGATGCTTAATTTGAGTTTCTATATGCGAATTTGAGAAATTGAGGATTGATTTGGTGTCTTGAAGTTGGCATGCAAAGCTGCTGTTGCCGTATCTTCCCATTCCATGCCATGCATTGTGTCAAAATGGTACATATGGTTTACTAGCAAAATCACTCTTTTGATTTGAAAACCGTGTCTTTGCTTTTTATTTGTGGCTCATAAATCATGTCTTTGATTTTTAAATGTGCATAATTATATTTATTAGGGTGTATTATACCCTTCGGCTATTGCATTTCTTGCTTGAACTGAATTCCTATATGTAAATATTTCAGAAGTTGGGATTGATTTGGAGCTTGAACTTGACATGCTAAGCTGCCATTACTTCCTGTTGATCCGTATTTACGTTTTTACCTCGAAATATTTGTATGGATTGGAAATATATGATCCATTAAAATACCATAAATTGCTTATTAGAAATTACAATATATTGACCAATGAATGTGTAGCTCAACTGGTAATGGGTTGGATTGTGTTAACTGATGGTCTAAAATTCGAGTTTTGGGTATTCAGTTGTGTTAAATATTTGTTGAGAGTTTTGTCACCATTATGATTCTGCCCGACTAGGCCTGTACAATATACTGATTTGAAATAGGTGTGTTGGCTTTGGTATTTGAAGCATTTGCAATCAGCTCTCCCTATATATATATATATATATAAATATCATCAACTCTTTACATCCCCCTTCACTCCTCTTCCTTTTCTAACCATAAGATTACCATGTAGTCTCTATTACTATCTATCTTTTTATTGTGTTTACTATAATTTTAAATTGTTCAAATTAAATTTTAACAGTTTGAATTTAATTCTTGACCTTTTTTTTTATAGTTTAACATTTTAGTAATAATTTTGTATGAGATCAAATTTAAACCATCCATATTTAGATTTAATAGTATGGAAGAAAGAGGAAGAGGATATAATCACCTCTCATATCTTCAAGTTCCTTTTCCATTATGTTGTAGTCTGATGGGAGAGCAACCTCCCCACAAATACAATCACACATCCCCGCACATAATTGTATATAATTTTTTTTTTTCGTGATGATATTATTTATCCTTTTAATCATGATTTAAAACGTGCAATCTCAAATCTTATAAAATAATTCCTTCGGTGTTGTGTTTAGATTAATGAGAATGTTGATTTGGATTAAATTTTCTATTTAGGTACACAAAAATTTATGTATTTAAATTAAATATCCATCTTTTATTTTTTTAATTTATTTTACATTTTAATTATTTAAAATTTCATTTACTCCAAATATTTCATTCGATTCACATTTTCCCTATTAATGTTTTTATAACCCTTGTGCCCATCTCTCACTGATTGAAAATTTTATATAAATTTTATATAACTTTATGATTCCAATTTTTTTGCTTTTATTTAAAATATCAACTTGTCTCTTTTCTTCATTTAAAATTTTTTAAATTATTGAAACAAAAAATTTTAAATATATAAATCTTAAACATGAGATGTAAAATGTGAGATTTAAATTTAAAATACAAATTCATCAGTCAAAATGTTAGTTGATAATAAAATCTATTAATTTCCATAATTTATTCAATATTTTTATTTTATTATTTTTTATTCATCAGAAAATTCTCTTTTTTAAAAAACAAAAATAATCTTTATAAAATTAGAAAAAACTTGTACTCCCTCCATTAAAAAATGTAAAGTATTTTTTAATTGAATTTCATTTCCCAATAAAGTAGTTACTTACTTTTTAACTAATTCTATCTTTTTATATTTATTCTTTTAAATATCCTATAATAAATATAAAATTATTATCAATAGAGGCACTTTTGAAAAAAAGGTAATGATTGATTTTATATTTTTTAATATTCATTCAACTTCTCAAAAAATGCTTTATATTTTTGAATGGAAGGAGTATACATTAATTTTATATATTTAAGGTATTTATTTTTAATTAAATGTATCTTTTAAAAATTATTTATAGTATAATAAATTTTTGTTATATCTTGGTTTTATTGCATAAAAATATATTAAAAATATAAAATTAAGTATATAAATGTTGTTCCTGAAATCTTAAATTGTGTTTTTTATTTTTTTTGGTTAAAGTCCCGAGATTTCAAATTAAAGACTCATTAGCCCTGAACTTGGGTGAGCGCCGCCATATAATGAGTAGGTAACAAACAGATCTCAAAGAATCTAAGCCTTCATCCCCCATCTTCTCCACTTTCTTCCTGTTCCAACCACGACGGCGGAGCCACCGCAAGCCAAACGCCGACGGCGACATCTCTCGGTTTGGAGAGAGATGCCATTCCGATCATCACGGGGATCTTCTTGGTGATGATATCGAGCCCTTTGTGGGAGTTTGGCTCGATATCACCACCAACAAGATCCCCATTGATGATCTTGCAGATAGAGAGAGAGAGAGAGACGATTTGGCATACGCGTGTGTGTATATATAGGGACAGAAATTTACAGCAGTCAGCAAACTGTCCTCCACAAAGCTTATCTGTACATACGTTATCCTCATGCCGTGATTTTCCGGTCTCAGCAAATTAATCCCTGTAATTACGCCTTTGATTCAGCAGCTCTCCGTATTATTATTATTATTGTTTATTAATTGTTGGATGTCAGATTCAAAAATCATGAGTTTAATTGGAAAATAATATTTACTGGAGAGGATTTTTGTTTTTAAAACAGATATTGGAGAGGATTTTAAATGAAAAAATTTCATATATGTTCTATAAAAAAAATTTAATTATAAATAAATTTCACAAAAAATTGATAATGTGGGCAGCCTATGAATTATGGGCTGGCTCACAAGAGGTTGTGGAGTTGACAGTGTGGGTTGGCATTTCATGCGGCGTCATATTTTTACCAACTCATTCTAACCTATCAGTAAAACATAATATATATATATATTAGTTTTAAAAATTACAAAATCATCTCTTTTTATTATTTTTTTGGCCATGAGAAAATGATTTTTTTAAAAAATTAATTATTCAAATAACAAGACCCTTTTACATCATTAAAAGTTCAATTTCAAAGTAATTTTATATGTTTAAATTTTTAAAAAGTAGGAAAGACAAGTATTAAATAGTAATAAAATAATATAATTAATGAGTAGCTTTTTGTGCTTATTAATTTTTTTTTTTAACTTTTTGTGCTCATTAATGTTCCTTCGGCTATCTACGTTATCACTTATCAGTTATGTTGCTGCCAGTCCGAAAGTGGGATGTGGGTCTCAACGGCTCAGTGGAAGATGGGGCAAGGAAATGTAACTTCGTTTCTTTCCATTTTGTTACTTTTTCTTAAAAGAAAATTAAAAGAGAACGGCATTAAAAAAAATTATGGAAGTGAAATATTTCAACCAAGATTTACTTATATTATATAAATACTGTTATATTATTTAACGAATACAAATTCTTTGAAGAGTGCAAGGTAGATTATGCTAATCGGTTTCAGGCCAAAAAAAAAAAAAAGATTATGCTAATCGGCAATAACATCATGCCATGTAACAAGGAAAATTTCTTAAATTTTGAACAGTTTTAAACTTAATTTATATAAAATATTTTTATTTTGTTTTTACTGTAATTTTAAATTGTTTAAATTAAATTTTAATAATTTGAATTTAATTATTGATCTTTCTAAAATAATTTAATATTTTAATAATAATTATACAATAAATTAGATCACAAGTTAAACCGTCAAAATTTTGATCCAATTATTGAAAAGCAGGGGGAAACAAAGGGAATGACAGGGGAACAGAAGAAGAGGAGCAAAGAACCTCTCCCGGCTATGTACTTTATGAAAATCCGTGCATGGTGCAGAACAGCTAAAATTTATATTTAATATTTATATCATCAACAAATTTTTACGTGGGAAAAAAGGTTAAAAAGAGAAGACATTCTTTTTCGCCCAAGACAATATTAAGAGAGAGAGAACTTATTCAAATTCAATACTGTAAAACATGAATGCAAGTCTGCAAAACGAAGCATAAGTCAACTAAGCAGAACCACAATTAGTAGCTTGACTCTCCTACAAAATGTTCGGATCAGGTATTACTTAGAAGATGGATTTAAAAAATTCTGAAGGTACTATAGATCATTTGGTCCACACATATATACAGTTCCTTTTCTACAACTTAATGAAAAAAAAGTGCTTCTCTTGGAGTTGTACTGCCCCTTTTTTTGATTGATTTGAACTTTCTCTGATATCAACTTAATAAGGAAACTTACAGCATCAAATGAACAGGAAATCAAGTTCAATCAAAACCAACATGCGAGTTTCTAGTCCATCTAGGTATTCAGCAATGCATGAGAGACTTCTTCAACAATACTTTTGATAACCTCAGAATCACTCCTGCACAATTACAAGTGTCCATTAATAATTAACCATAAATTAATCAAGTCATAATTTGAATACAACATTTATAACTTGAAAGTTGTGTTCACAAGCAGTAAAAGTGACACGATTTATTACATGCAATAATGTCTCAAATTCTTGAATTTTAAATGAGTCAAGGATGTGGTTTACTTAATTAGCTATATGCTTTTATTAAAACAATTCTGAAGAAAGTCTTGCTAGTGTAATTTGTCGAAAGAGGAAACAAAGAAATTAAAGAACCAGAGACATATACCTGTTGTTTGTCCAAAAACCAGACATGTTGGCTGCTTCACACAAAGCCAACCTCCACTTTCGCACCATTTTCATGTCCACATTATAGAATTTGGCTATATCCCTTGATGCTTTTCGATGTCCTCTTCTTTGACGTTGTATATCTGAAGGGTATACATTGTAGTAAACTGGAAAAACCAACGTGCCCTTTGTTCTCATACAATCAAGGCTCTTAACAAGTTCCTCAAGACACCCCATGGAAATTGCGTAGTTTTTAGAGAATATAATTATACAACTCCTAGAGTTTTCAATTACTTTAAGGGCAAATGGGTCAACATTTCCCCCCCTTGGGATGCCGTAAACATGATTGAATGTATTTATTCCGCATGCACGTAGAGCATGATTCAGAGAGCTCACTAAACTTGTTGCATCTGTGCTTATGAAACTTACAAAGACATCATATCTTTCTGCAGAGAAAAGGAAAGTTGATGTAATAGCCGTTGTTGCCAATATTCATAGTAGATACAAGTTTATGGACAAATATACTAGAAATAATTCCAGTAATTAACGCGGTCTTCATTTTTAGTCAGTGAATAAACACGTTACACAACCACTATTGGGAGAAGTACTTTTTACTTCGATTTAAAAGGGGTCATCAAAAATTCCAATGTGGAAATTTACTTTTTTTTCAATGTCCTGTTTGTTTTCTAGTACATTCATAATTTAATTGATGTGGAAATAATGTTTAAAGTCTTTTGCTTATTATGGTTTTTGTCACCGCCCCTTTTTTTTTTTAACCTCAGTTTTTAACATAACTGACGTTAAAAGACGACGCAAAGTAGGGGTTTTGTAGTAGTGAACTTAGTGTTCAGCACTAATCATTATCAGTAAACTCTGAATTTCTTGAGTATCCCTCTCACTCTAGGCTCTTGTGTCATTTACTATGGAGACCACTCCCTTTGGTCCTATATATATATAAGTCATCTTTCAGAAAGAATTGATAGTCCTTTTTATAATTCACTTTGCATAAGGTGGATTATTAATTACTTTATTCCAATTTATCTTGCACAAATTAAATTTGCTATCAGGTTACAAATGAGAAATGTTTTTAAATATGTTCTATTCAATAGGGGTAAATAAGAAAATTTTTTAGACAACATTAATAATTTAACTACTTGGTACTTCTTGGTTAAAGTAATTAGTGGATACTTATATATAGGATTAATTGGAGGGAGAGTAAATAATTAGATTCAAGTTAGTGATCACTCGTACGTGTAAATGCAACCATCAGTGGTCGACATAAGATTTGCTAAGTGAGATTTAGGGCGTGTTTAGTTTTTGCTTTTAAAAATTGTTTTGTAATATAATTTCTAAAATTGTTTTTAAAAAAAAAATTAAAATCTTTTTGGTTATATCAATTAAAAAATAATTTTAAAATTAAAAAATAGATTAATAGTGATGATTATAAGTTGTTAATACTGGTAGTTAATAACAAAAATTGGTCAAGATAATCATAATTTTTAATAATCAAATGTAGTGTATTTTAAAAATAATAAAAGAAAATGAAAACAACATGAAGTTGTTTCTATTTTTTTGTTTTAAAAACAACAAATGAAAATGGTTTTGAAAACAATTAAATGAAAAACACTTATCCAAATAAGTTTTTAAAATTTTCTATTTTCAAAAATAAAAAACAGTTTTTAAACAAAGAGGCCCTTATGCACTCCATATATACTCTATATTTTCTTGATATGCCATGTCTTGCTAGAAAGATTTGATGCAACTACACTATTTAGTTTATGCTTATTGTTAAACTGGGATGCAATTTGTTCTCCAATCACATGTTGCTCTATTATTTTTAGGAACTAGTATGTGGCTCATGCAATGCACGGTAAATGAAATAAATGATTGTTAATATACCTACTAGGCTTTAAGGTATATTGAGACTTGTATTTTCAAATTAAAATAACTTTTAAATTAAAGTTATTGTTTTGGTAGACTAAAGTTATTTATTTTGTTTACATAACAAAATATTCAACTGATTAGCATTGTCTAAAATAATTATAAAAATCAATAATTTAACTTTGTGTAAAGAGTTTGATGATTTATCTTGATTTTTTTTATTACCCAAAGAATCATCACACCATTACTAGTAACTATGAGACTAATTCCTTAAGAAATTTGATGGCCATTTAAGGAGTTGTTTTCTCCTAATAAATGCTTTAGGTATGCATAAATTTAACTTTTGAATTTACATTAGTAATTATGTGATTATGTCTATCTTTTGTTTTTCTTTTCAATTATGTGATTATTTATATTTATAGAAATAATAATAATTATTTGCAAATATTATTGTCCTTTATGACTAATTTACATTTGCAAAATGATACATACAAGATACAACTATATAAGAGCCTCTCTCAAATTTATTATTACCACTATATATCCTATTATATCTTTTAGGTTCCTTATCATCTCAAAATGGCTATTAATTAGGGCATGTTTTGTTCACTTATCAAAAAATTAAAATAGAAATAATCTAGGTGAAAAGAAATGTTATTGAACATATAACCTCTTAAAAGAATACAACAAATAAATTGGTGGATTGTAGTATAGAAAAATCTACAGAGTAGTAAAACAAAAGCAATATAGAACATAAATGATTGAAGCAATTTGGAATAATATAATCTCGTAACTCATCAACTACATTAGCGCTCTAACTATCAAAAATAGTTAGCACATGATAATCTAGTTGGTCGAACCAAAAGAAAAAAACAATAAGCTCTCAACTTTACTTTTTCAATTATACACAGAAATTATGCATCAGTTAGAGATAATTAAGGGTGATCTAATTAAATAGACTCCATAGACATTGTGTTTAACTTTTAAGCAAAGCTGTGGAGCTAAAATCTATGGCATGCAATACCAAGGCAAGGAACTCACATAAACTTTAGCAAAAATTCTTTTCTTGAGATCCCACTTAAACATCATGTTTACCAAATCTATAGCACTGTCTAAGATGATCAAAAACTATTTAGACTCAAAATCTATGACTCTATTTGAAATTTGCATAAAAGTTCACAACTCAATTTTACAAGTAATAAGAAAAAGTAAGTGTAGTTTAGATAATGATAAAAAAAATTCATACACACACACACACTACATATATGAAATCTCATATATACAATAAAATCATTAATTACCAGCCCAAAATGGTAGGACCACACCCAGTAAGATACACAGAATAGCACCAGCACTACTATTCCACACACTTGCTTTTGGTCCACAATGCCTGCACAACACCTCATAAACAATCTAATAGGCACCTCTAACCACATTATAAAACTCTTAGGCCGATGGGAGAGGAGATGCATAGAAAAAGTAATGACCGGTCATCATAATAAATTGAGTTATAAAAGGAAAATTTCAATAAGACAAATCCTTTTTTTCCTTATTGCAATCCTAACAGATTTTACATGTATAAGAAGCTAAGAAAAATATGGCTTTACTCCTAATCTTGACTTTCAGTAATGCATATACTGCATATGGTATTTGGTGAAAGTGAATAAAACTTGATGAAAATTATGAATACATACCAACAAAATATATTTTTTGGCCAGCGCACTAATAAAAAATGTGAACAAATAATAATAGAAACAGTAATAAACACAAGTTCTATGCCACATATAGGATGAAAATGACTTGAGGATGACAATAAGATAAAGTAGCCTGTAAAGAATTTCATCATAACAAAAGTGGCTACTGTGTAATAGGGATAATGTTGGTCATGCTAAAATTATTGAGATATATTCAACATTGTAAAAGTGGCAGCGACTGCATCTCCTCTTTTTTATTCACTGCAAATGTAATTGCAAATTCCTCTTCATCATGTGTTCTCTTATCTCCTTTACCATGTTTCTTCTTCCTTTTATTTTGGGCTTTAGGCAACGTGGATCATTCAATTCCCCCGAAATGCTCCGATGACAACAATTTTATTATAATAATGGGAGAGGAGGAAGGTATAATAATGATTGAGAAAGTTAATGATGATATGGAGGTATTTAAGGAGATTGATCATGGGAGGAGAAGTTGTGACCCACGTTTTCATCCATTTGCTAATTGGTAAATGGTAATTGCTCTCACTACTCCAATATTCCTTAGCAAGAAGCAGTTATGGAGGAGCTAATTAAATACAAACTAAAACAATAAATTATGAGTAAGAAGTTGGGAAGTTAGGATAATGGAGAGATTTTTGGGGATAAGAAAGTTACACATATTTACTTGTAATTTTTAGATTTTAAATCAAAAATTTGAAACTGTAAATAAATTAATAGAAAGTTAGGATAATGAAGAGGTACTTGTTGTGGAGTAGTTTTATATTTATTTTTTATTTATATTTAACAAATAAGAGCATAAATGACAGCATTCTAATTTTATATGTACATAATTCAGTTGATTTAAAATGTTATACTATTTATCATAATAAATAATATATTATTTATCATTATTCTTATTTCTATCTTGCCATGATCTCTTATTTTTTTAAAATTTAAATGTTTAAAATAGGAATAAGATTAATGATGGGAGAGTGGGAGAGATGATGAGAGAGGAATGAAAAAAAAACTGAATTAAGATAAATCGGTGTTTAAAATAGAAATAGAAATTATGAAAGTAAGTTAATAGAATCAAATGAAGCTGATATGGCATTTTGTATTTGCAGCAATTTGAAAATAGGACACGTGTCAAGCTTGGAAGGGAGCTTGCGGTTTTACTTATATATATATATAGATATTTTGGTACTTCTTGCTTGGTTTGATTACTTATTGCAATGTGATTAGAATTAACAATTTAAAACATCTAAATAATTTGTAATAAAAAATGGCTAAAAAATGAGAGAATCACTATTACAAAAAGGACCTAGGGAAACATCCTTATTGGAGTGCTTATGAGGGGGCAAAAAAAAAAAAAAAAACTTTTAAAAGCATATAGAAGCGGAACTTATGGAAGCACTTCTATGAAATGGATTAATCCAAGGAGACGATGATCCTAAAATATTTTTGTAAGCTAATCATGTGCTTCAAGAGACATATACAATAACAATAAATCATATTCCATTAGGCGAAGTCAGCACAAATTAAAGGACACATATAAAGCTGGAAAACAAAAACAGCCAAAAGTATATAGTTGAGTTAAATGCAGAACAGCCATGCAAAGTAGAACATGCATGTATAAAACAGGGGAAATAATACTGATGGAAATGCAATAAGGATAGTAAAATACCTGGTTCGGTGAACCGAATATTTTCCAACCTATTTTCTTGTTTGCATACATGAACTCCCAAATTAATTTTTCTTTCATGCTGCCTTTCATGTGTATTATTATCGACGGAAACAAACACTTCATTCCAATCACGTGCTTGGGAGAATTCAGTCTTGTGAATAATGCTGTACAGGTCACACAGATATATATGATCACCCTGTATTGTTGATACTGATGAGAACCACTCTGAAGGAATATCTTGACGAGAGTCATTTACATGCACCGAGAATTTAAAGTCGAACTGATAATCCTGGACATCTTTAACAAGTATCCAAATAAGAATCACTGGGAACTCGTTACGGATCCAAAAAGATATTGAGGTATCTTCAGTACTAACTATGTCGAGCATTTCTGGGAACTTCTTGTCCGGAAAAACAAAGTATCTTTTACCAAACCTGATTCAATACTTTGCTTTTTGATGACTCAGTCAATGATGTGCAACACATAGCACTAAATTTTTCTAGGTTTGGTGGCATTCCTGAGATATGTTTAATCTCCTTGCAATGATCCAGGATAAGATATCTCAAACAGTAACATTCTTTGATGCACGCTGGAAGGACTGTGAAGTTATTACAACTTAGATCTAAATATATCAAGTTTGGGAGGTAATAAAGACACAGAGCAAGAGAACCATTTGACAAATTGCAATTTGAGAAATGGAAGTATTCCAATTTCAGAGATGCTGTAGAGTGGTCTAAGCTTGCTTCGTCTCCAACTTCACATTTCTTGAAATATCTCATTCCCTCACAAGAATTTGCTCTTAGTGTGCAAAGGTTTGGCAACATAAAAATGCTAGCTGGTAGTCGCTTAAGATGATGACACTCTTCCATGTTTAAGATTTCAAGCCCGATGAGATTGCAAATTGAGGATGGCAATTCTACAATGGACGTCCTATCCAAATCAAGCATTCTCATCTTTGTCATTTTCTCTAATATTTTTGGAAAATGTTGAAGACTTGAGCAACCAAAGAGGTTGAGATGTTCAAGAGATGTCAACCTAAGGCCATATGGTAAGATCCTCAAGTTTTTGCATCGCATGGCACTCCATTCTCTCAACTTAGTTAGAAGTCCAACTGAATTATGAATTTCAATTAAGTTTGTACAATCATCAAGACATAATATGATCAAATTGGAAACTCCAGATAAGTTTGGTATACACTGTAAAAATTTACATCTTTTAAAATTCATATGAGTTAAGTTCTTGAACTTCTGCAAAACAATGATAAAAAGTTATTTTTAAAGAATAGAAGAAGAAACAAAGAAACATAGTTCTAATAACACTTACCTTATCAAAGGGTTGGAGTATTTCACAACAACTATTGGACAAATCAAGATAGACAAGTTTCTGTTGGACAAAAGTTATATGGTAAAATTTTGAAGTGATAATCCTTCCATTGTAACACCCTTAAACTATTTGGGAGATATTTGGCACCTCGAGAAAAGAATGCATTTTTCATCATAAGAATTCTGAGGTTTTTCTTCTTCATGAATGCTTTTCCACTCCATTGTACTTCTTTACCTTTGGGTGAGTCTAGAATTATGGCTTCAACATTCTTAGTTCCCTTTCAAAATGAGAAGCACACAAATAAATTTCAAATTTTAGACATGTTCAAATCATGATAAAAAAATTTTAAAGGAGAAAACTTTAATGTTGGTCTTACGGTATTTTGTTGTAAGACATGAAAAATATCTTGATAGAACCATAACCTACTGCGCCTGCCAGGTTCATTAGGTGATTCTTGTCGAACAATCTCTTTACCCATGTCTTCTATCAAGTCGTGCATTGTTACATGATCTCCTTCAATCTTTATGAGGGATTTATCAATCAAAACTCCAATAGCATATTTTGGTTGGATTCCACGAGAACATAGCAATATATCCCTGATATCTCTTAATTTCTCACCATTGAAGAAACAAGCCAAGTCAAGGAAAACTTTCTTCTCTTCTTCCTCTAAAGCATCATAGCTTAATTTAAGGACCTCCAAAACACTTCCATGTGGTATTCTTTCAAATTGATCCAATGCAAAATTCCATTCGTTGACATTCTTACCACATAAATTAGAACCAATCACTTCTAAAGCTAAGGGAAAGCCACATGAGTAAAGTACTGCTCGATTGGAAACCTCTATATAGTCGATCTCCACATTTTCCTTTTTAAAGGCATACCAATTAAGCAATTGAAGAGATTCCTCATCATCTAATTCCCTGACATGATAGATGCTTTTGACTTCATGGCTTACTAACAATTGTTTATTCCTTGTGGTGATTATGATTCTACTTCCGGAACCAAACCAATCACATCTTCCAGCTAGTGCTTGTAACTGTTTCGATTTGCTAATGTCATCAAGAATCAAGAGAATCTTCTTCTGATAGAGCCTATGTGCTATTATTGGTATTCCTTTATTCATGTCACCCAATTTGAGATCTTTTTCCATGACCAATTCCTTGAGTAATATCTCCTGAAGATGTGACAAACCATTTGACGATTTAGACTTCTCTCTTATATTAGAAAGGAAACATAAGCCTTCAAAATAATCAGCAACTGAATTATACACTGCCCTTGCAATAGTTGATTTACCTATTCCACCAGCTCCCCAAATTCCTACCATTTTAATTTTCTCATTTGACCAAAGATCTAAAAGTGAAGTTACTTCCTTTACTCGAGATGCAAGTCCAACTGGATAATCAGTGACATGTAAAGGAATACGGCTAATTCTAGTAGAGACTTCACTAGTGATCCTTGTAACATAATCTTTTTCTTCCGCAATCCTGACCAATTTTTAAGAATTCATATTTAGTTAGATTACAAACTACGATACATACATACATACATACATACATACATACATACATACATACATATATATATATATATATGTGCTTTTAGAAATAAAAAATTGACGCCCCCCCATTCCTCTCAAGTTTCTCAATCATAAGATTAGTACCTCATTCCTCACACAAAGGATTAAATATGTATCTTTTCTGAAATTATTAGTGCTTTCTTATCAGAATGATCCTTGAGGAAATAGTTGCGAGGGAAATCACAAAAAAATGGTGGGAAAATTGTTTATTAGTTTATTCAAATTAATTATGTTCTTAATAATTGAATATGGCAGTTTTACATATGGGAAATAAAGTCCCGTAATGAAATCATGATTTACAAATGCCCTTTTGAAGATCATTTTTGACAAGAAATTGTAGATTAAACAATGCAAGAACCAAACAGGCCAAGTTTTCATTTTGCATCTTGGAATTTAAGGTCATGTGTTAAAATTAATTATGCCTAATTAGGGCATTCTGTTTAATACAAGTATGAAAAATAATACCTAAATAATAAAAAAAAAGCAAAAGAGTGAAAATATATTACTTGGGTTTTAGATGAAAGCCTTTCAAGTTAGCAGCTTGGAACAAAGCCAATCTCCATTTTTTCACCTTCTCGTGATTGTCTTTGAATCGTCTCTCTAGTCTCGCCAATGCTTTTGCATAGCTTCCTCTTGGACGTCGAAGCTCCGATGGATCCACATAATAAAAAATTGGATATATCAGCCGCCCTTCCTCCTTGAAGCACTCCAGAATCTTTGCAAGTTCTTCCAAGCAAAAGGTCGAGTTTGCAAAGTTTTCAGAGAAAACCACGATCGCTATTCTTGATTCTCGTATGGCTTTGAAAAGTGCAGGTTTGATTTCTTCTCCAGTTCTGATGCCTTCATCATCAATGAAGACATGAATTCCTCTTTGGCGCAGAGCCTCGCGGAGATAGCCAATGAAACCTAAGCGAGTATCTGCACCGTGAAAACTAAGAAACACGTCATAAGTCCATTTGTAAGTGAGGGAACAAGATCTTGCTTGTTGTGCCATGATAATCTTATCAGACTCGCAGAGCTGAATTAAAATGGCAGAAGTGCAGAGCAAAGAAAGAACCAATAAGATCGAACCCCACTGGAATGAAATCTCACGGAACTGAGTGCATGATCTTAGTGGAATGATTAGAGATTAAAACAATGGCGGAAGCGTTGAATAAAGCAAGAAGAGATCTCCCAGGACTGGAAAGAACGAAGTGTAGTATAATAAGCAAAAGTCATGTCAAAGTATGATCACGAAGCTTCCGCCATATTTGATAATAGATATCCCTTTTTATAAAATGGCATTACATTAATAAAATATATAGGAAGGTGGGGAACACGTAACGCGTAACGGGGAAATTTTTCCATGGCTCCAAATACAAAGCCATCGGATTTATATTATGAAATTGCAGGTGAAAAGCGTATTTGTTAAGTTAATAGACATAGTTGACTTCTAATTTTTTATTATTATGTATCAAACATAATAACCATAAAAATAACAGAGATAAAATATTTAGATTCCTTTTACATGAGATTTTAAATAAATTTAATTAATTTTTTTAAAAAATAGAATAAATTAAAGTCATGAATAATACGGCACGTTGTATTTCTCAATTTAACGTCATCGCATATCCATTCAGTAGTCAACATACGTCTAATTAATTAGTAAATAAGCTACAAACATTATGGCACTAATATCTGATGTGGCACCAACAATCATCAATTTTTTTTTATTTATTCCCACAGTCATTTTATATGTGTTTTAGAATCTAAATTGTTCAATAAGCACTAAAGTTTGTCCTTATTTTGATAATTTGAGTATTCATAACTTCCAGGAACCTTCATCATATTTCCTTTTAATTCAATAATGTTTGGGCTAAAATATAAAACGTTGTTCAAATAGGTTACAGGGTTAGTTGGATTGAGTAACTAAAGAGTTAGGCCCAATCTAAACAAAGGGGCAGGCCTCAAAGTTCAATAAAAGCTACGATAAAATAAACATGCCGAAATTCTATCAGTTACAAACATTGGATCGTTGGTATATGAAGACATGATCCCGAGTAATTTTGAAATCCACGAACATCATGCCCAAGTATCTTGGTGAAATAGATTGATTACCAAAAATAGAGAACACGAAATAAAGACCGTGCCATGAGTTTTGCGAGATCTCTAATTCCTTGGCAAAACATTCTAGGTCTTAAGGAAAGGCTACCATTATTTTGACACTATAAATAGAAGACGAAGACACAGAAGAAAGGTAGTCAACACTCAATTAAAGACTTACATTTTTACACCTTTAACCTTTAGTTTTATCAGTTAGTTTTACTTTCAATCTAGACTTGTAACATTTTGCATTTCAATAAAAATCAAATACTTGTTCTACTAAAGTTTTGTATATTTTTTACATTTGAGTGAACTGTAACAAGGGAGCTTGAAATACTTTTGTTATCAATTGAGACTCAACACCTCTGGCACGCTTGGTATTTGTTGTTCATAACGAATAATTCTTGGCACACTCAGTGAGACTTGTGTAACAAAGATAGGAAGGACGAGAAAAGACAAAAGAACTGATGAAACAGGTTCTAGTTCTTACAAACCAAAAGGGACCTTTGCACATGCAGGATCAAAACACTTAGCTCTTGATGTTGAAATGGCTGAATATCGTGAGCACCTAGTGCCGGTGTCGATAAGTAACAGCAGCACAAGCCCTAGCTCAAAGCTAGGAAGTAGACAAGCTAACCCACTGTTCATATCAATGGTCCTATGGCAGAAGTATTGTAGGAAATTCAAGACCAGATGGATAAGTAGCTGGAAGAGAACTAAAGGTTCTTTGCACTATCCCTGGAAATGTCATAACACAAGGAGAAAGAACAATAGCAAATCATGATGCATGCTTTGCATGATGGCATGAAGAATATAGCTATATAATTAAAAAACACTCTTCTTGAAATAGGCTCAAATATAGGGTCGCATGGAGGGTAGCAAGCAGGAATCAATATAAGTGTTGGCCCTCAGGGCTGCCTACTTGTAAGGGACATCCCTAACCCTCAAATTTTTACTAACACTAATCTTCTGACTAATCCGCTTTATTATTTACAGGAGCTTAGCATAAGCGGCTGAGGGGCATGGCAATAGTCCTAGAGCGTTAGAACGAGCCTCTTAATTGACTAATGAATATGGAGGCCTTGAGGGATGCTATCCAAGATATATACGAACTAAGGTTGAGGTCAATTGGCTGCCCTACCTTCTTAAAGCCATATCTGGAGTACATAGATAGGGATAACCCATACCCTCAGGGATGTAGGATCCCTGACTTCATACTGTTCTCAGGAGACAGAACGTAATCCACCTTGGAGCACATTAGGAGGTTCACAATTCAATATGAAGAGATGGCCAATTATGAGAAATTTGCCAACTTAAAATTGATACTGTTCCCCAATACTCTCATGGGCCCGACATTCACATGGTACACGTCACTACCTTGCAACTCAATCATCAGCTAGATGGAAATGGAGCAGAAGTTCCATGTTTAGTTTTACAAGGCAGAGCTAGAGGTTAGCATAATAGTACTCTACAAGCTTACCTAATGGGTTAGAGAGACGGTAGACCAATACCTGGTAAGGTTCAAACGACTGAGGATCAGGTGCCATGTGCCACTTTTAGAAACTGAATTCATCAAGCTGGCATAGGCAGGACTAGATATAGAGCTCTAAAAGAAGTTCTAGAGGATGGAATTTCAAGATTTCTATGAGCTTGCGGCTAAAGTATGGGGATATAAGGAGCTGTTCAAAAAAGAGGATCCTCGTCGACGGATTATGGTAGGAACCTATTTTGGTGACCTTGATGTAGCAATGGTAGAATTAAAAAATGCTAGCAACTATACATGCCCGACCCTTATAAGGAATGCTGGAGAGATTCTTAAAAGGCCAAATGCCATTCAGTACACCTTTGACACCACCAAAATAGATGAGATCTTCAATTTCCTCCTCAAAGAAAACTTGATCTCCCTACTAGCTGATCACAAAATCCCTTTAAAAGAAGAATAGAGAGGGAAGGAATGCTGTAAGTACCATCACTCATGGAGTCACAATACCAAGGCCTATTGGGGCTTTAAAAACGTCATCCAGGACTGAATCAATAAGGGAGTTCTTAAATTCCTTAAGGAAGAATCCATGGTCATAGATAAGGACCTATTTTCACCATTTGCTATAGTCAATATAGTGGAGATAAACTTTTTTAAATGATGAATTGGGAGAAATGATGGTAAGCAGACAGATGGGAGGTGTTGAATGTATGTAACAGGAAGGAAGTAACTCAAGAAAGCTCAAGAACAGTGTGGGATTGCTTGGAGAAACCTACGGGCTGGTCCAACAGGAACACGTCTTTTTCTTGGTGGGATGTTGGCTCGAAAGGGTAAAGCTTAAAGAGCTCGGACAACTCTAAGGTGGTTTGGGATTACTTGGGAGAAACCACAGACATCAACAAATAGAAAAATGTAAAGAAGAATGGCAAATGACCCTCAGGATGAGATATTGGCCACGAGAGATTGATAATGACAGAGCTAGATAAGTCTAAGGTGGTCAGAGACCGTCTGGGGGAGCCATCTGGCAAATTCAACTTCTTTATTAAGTACTTAGCACCATCAAGAGTAGGTGAATCATTCATTGGAACACCAACAAGTTAGGATATAGGCCTTGACAGCCTACCTTTAACACTACTAATGCCATCAGAAAGAACAACAAAGCTTCCTTCAAAACTAAAAGTCGCTAAGGGCTCGGGTAGGTTTATTACACTACCTGGCAACGTATTGCCTTTAAAATGAAGAGTCGTGAGGCATAAAAATTTCTCAGCTACCTTAACTAGGACTCAGAAGTGATAGCTTTAGCAAAAAAAAGCTATACATAGATACCTTGAACAGTAGAAAATTGAGGTATAGGAAGGCCCTGACGTGCAGGAAACTAAAAAGTTTAGAAAGAAGTCTACCGAGGATCAGGACAAAGGGAGTGAGAATGAAAATCAGCATGATGGGACTATTCACATTAGGGAGATATCTCTCAATCTTTGTTGTGTGGTTTCATTAACGCTCCCTTCTTAGTTCTGATCTAATGTCAGTAGGACCCAGGACCAGTTTGAGCAGAACTCCTTGGGGCTAACATATATGGGCTCATACCAATATTGCCCAATGGAGCCAAGGGAGGAGAAAGAGTATGAACCAATAAAGACATGAATGTAGAAAGAGAAGGTTACGGGGCCTATCTGTTAGGTCATCTTATAAGCTATAGAAGGAAAGCCAAAGCGAGTTGTCCTGAAAAAAATAAGTACTAAGATGACCCAATACTTGAAGCCTTTATACATTAAGGCACATTTCAATGAGAAGCTAATGACTAGGGTCCTAATAGACAATGGCTCAGCAATGAACATATTGCCATCCCATATGATGCTCAAAAGGATGGGAAGAGTGAGACTTGATGCCAACTGAGGTGTCCGTTGTAGGATTCACCGGAACCACCTTTAAGGTCCTCAGTGTATTACCATTACAGGTTAACGTCAGGACTAAATCCTCTTTGATAACTTTTTTTTTGTCATCAACACTATAGCACAGCATCAGGCCCTCTTAGGTCAGGACAGGATCTATACTAATAAATGTGTACCTTCCCTACTACACCAAATGCTTCTCATGTGGAAAGGGAAAGAGGTAAAAGTAGTCTGGGCTGAAGATAAACCATTCACAACAGTCACTGACTTTATGGATGTGAGATATTAAGACATTGATATGGGTTTGTTCACATTTTAATGGGCACAGAGGATCTAAATAGAGTCCTTTCATGCAAAACAACAACGAACACTATAGTGCCTTTAGCATCACAGAGGCACGAGCCTATCATAGAACTAATAGATGATTGAGTCAGATAAAAGAAAGGCCATAGCAGCCATGACCATTTAGAAACTATGGTTGCACAACATACAAGAGAGACTGAAAGACTACGGACTTGAAACATTTGGGACTGAAGTTGTATATGAAGATGAAACCTAAAAAGTAACGTAACTACACGAGCTATACCCTACACCTCTGAAGTTTGAAGACATAGCCCTGGAGGTTCAGGATTTGCTAGAAGAAGTAAATCTTGGATCTCCAAAGGAGCTGAGGATCACTTTCATTAACTCACTATTAAATGAAGAACAAAAGAATGCCATCAAACAAGTATTG